ATCAAATGCAGTAATTGCTCAAAGATTTTGCACAATTACCAAAACAAGGGCAACAAATATCAGGTGTAAAGTGCTCCACTACCCAACTTTTCCCAAACTTGTTTGGAACAGGCCCAGACATTCACCAACCCCCCAAAAGGGAGCTGTGTCCGTGCACAGCTGTGGTTCAGGTGCAGCTCTCTGACAACATTAATCAATAATATAATTCTCATGAAAAATAGCACACCAGATTTAGGGCTCAAACGCAATGAAAACAAGGTTCTCTGAATATAAATAACGTCCAATTAACTGGAATGGTTGGGAATATATTTATCTTTCTTATGGCAATATAGAAATCAGCCCATTTTCCAAATACACTGCACAAGGGATCCGATTAATCAGAAGTTCAAGAAGAATAACACAGACACCATTATTATTATTTTCTACACAAACTGCACTAATTAAAACTGCCTGGAATTTTACCTAATGACTTGTTTATTTTATAGATACAGGTACTTAATTTTACTGAGTGATGTTATATAAAAAAATACGCAAAATCATTAATCAATTTTTTTTGTCTGCCTTACAACATATTGTTCCCGCCTTTAAGTCACTCTAACAGCATCTTAAATCTATTGGAAAAAAACCCACAAAACATGCACTGCAATTCCAAACTGTCTTTTCACAGCAAATCTAGAAGGACAAAAATGTGTCACACTGAGGGAAAACATAATCAGTCACGAACAATCTGCAACAGCAACACTCACCATTATTTGTGTTATTGTTAAACCTCTGCAATAATAAATAACAGTCCAAAAATACAAAGATTCTAAAAGGTACAACCACTGCACAGCTCTGGTAATAAAGGCACAGCTGTAAACCAGCCACCCTGCTATTTAAAATTCCTGGGCAAAACTAATGAAAAGAACCACAGATTGACATTAGAAGATTTTAATCTTAGCAAAAGAGCAAATGTCATCTTCAAAAAATAGACACAAGTCCTTCATTTTTTTCATCCCTATGTTCACATATCAGTATTTTTAATGTTTTTCAAAAAAAACAATTGCATGGATGTTGCTGGTTTATAGTTGGGATTCATTTGAGTTGTTTTTTTTTCTTTTCTCTCCTTAATTTATATAACTGGTATTCATATCTGTATTTAATTAGCACTCAAAACCACCAGAAACAAAAACAAAATATGTCCCCCCTCCTTATGGCCTCCAAAAGTTTTATTTTTCAGCCATACCTAAAATATCATGAAATTGCAGTTAAACCATTCCTAAAAATGTGATTCTTTCTTCTTATAAAATCCATCCACAGATAAAACAAATAAATTTGCAAATAAAAAAAAATAAAGTTACAATTCACTTGAGCTACTGTGCATGAAGATGAGAGTAAGAGGTAGTAACCCTGACTCTTGTAACCCTTGTGAATATGTTTTAGTTATACACTTCCTTATAAAAATTTCATAGAATTAAAAATTTTAAGATTTATAGTAAATAAAGGTTGGCTACTATAAACTCTCAGAAAAAAAAAAAATTAGCAATGAATACAATCACCTTATCCTTTCAGCTAATTGTGACACTGAAGCCAGAGAAAAGAAACACATTTCAATTATCAATTTCAATACTGCTGAGAATAGAAATTCTAATATTTTTTTCAATCACGTATTTCTTAGAAAAATCTCAAGGGCAAGTTGATGAAAGACATGTGGAAGGCATATCTTTTACTCTTTAACCATGACAACAAGCACTGGGAACACGAGTACCCCAGCAAGCTCCAATCTTCTTACACCTCTGACAGCCAGACAAAAGTTTTAATTAGTTTCCTAGTTCAGGGCTTCCTAGAATAAATGCAATTCTGTCATTTCTAATGTGTTCTCACGATCAGTTAATGGATTTTAGGATTATTTTTTTTTTTTTTTTGCCTCCAGTTCAGAAAACCTTCTTGTGTTATAATTTCTTCTAAATCAATTCTTAGGTTATCCATATTTTCTCATCTGGAACACTAATGAGCCTGTCTAAAATTCAGTTTTAATGCACCTTTCTCTTCTCCTGACTCACTGAGGTGTTCTTTTTCAAACTCACATCACATTTCTGTATTACTCTCCAAAATTTCAGTAGAAGCCAGTTGATTTGCCACCATTTGAAAATCTGTCAGTCTTGTGCCTATATATACACCGAGTTCAGACTCAGTTCCCAAATACACTCCCCCACATAACAAAGACTAAATTATCACTTTTGGAGTTCTAAGACTTGTGTACAACCATTTCCAGTTTTCCAAGCATTCCCCAAAATCACACACAGCTTGGAGAACAAGAGGGGTGCTCTGAATATTCAAGTGTGAACGCCAAAGAAAGTATGAATTTCTCTTGGTGGTGATAAAAATCACAGCATTGGGCAAATTTTGGCTGTACAGGACTCGGGATGTCATCAACTCCAAACTCCTGGTCAAAACTGCTCCCCAACTCCCTGACACAAGGCTGTAGCCAGGTGGGGATTGGCCTCTTCTCCCAGGGAACAAGAGGTTGGACAAGAGGAAACAGCCTCAAGCTGTGCCAGGGGAGGTTCAGGCTGGACATCAGGAAGAATTTCTCCAGTGAAAGGGTTTTCAAGCACTGAAAGGGGCTGGTCAGGGAGGTGGTGGAATCCCCATTCCCGGAATTGTTCAAAAAACAACCAGACGTGGCACTCAGAGCTGTGGTTCAGTTGACAAGATGGGGATTGGTCAAAGTTGGACTCGATGATCTTGGAGGCCTTTTCCAACCTAAATGATTCTGTGGTTCTGTGAAAGGAGGGTTGCCTTCAAAGGCAGATCTGGTTGCTCAGGAACTTTTGCAGCAAAGTTCTGTTGCATTTTGGGCCATTAAATCTCTCTCTTCTATCCAGTGACCCATATTTAATGACTCACGGAAGAACTTCCCATCCCTATGGTTTCTTTGCTAAGCAGCTCACACACGAATCTACAAGCAGACTTCAGACTTCAAAATGAACGGGATTAATTTATTTACTTGCCACGATAAAGTTTCAAATTAGATGTTGTCTTTAGGAAGGAAATTGCTTTGAAACTTCCTGAGGAGATCCAAATCTCTGCACGTGGAACGTGCACGTGGTGTCTTGTGGAGGCTGTCACTGCACAGGCAGATTGCCATCGAAGCCCAAACAGGGCTAAACGAGATACTATTCTTGACTTGACCAGACTGCAAATGCAATTTTAGGCATTGCAAAAAAAAAAAAGCCTTTAAACTGGGATCATCGTTAACTTATCTGAGAAAAACGGAAAGAGCAGCTGAACAACTTCGGCTGAAAATGCAACGGATAAACACAATCTGAAGGTAACACATTTCTCATCACTTGAAGCTTCCATGGTTATGTTTGTGTGGCTCACACAAAACATGCTTTAGTCAAACATCTACCAGATTAAAGTACAGGGAAATAAGTAAAACTACTTATTTCTCTAATACAGGAAATTAAACCACATGTTCAAAAAGGGGGGGTTATATGTTCATATTATCTAGAAAACCATGAAAAGAAGAAATCAGAATGAAGATATTCATAAACACTGAATAAAGCAATAACCCAATAGTTCTCTTGACAGCATTTTATTTTCTCTAGTCTTCTTGACAAACTGCTGAAATAGGAATACCTTTTTCCTCATCCAAACACAATCTTGAGAACCGAAGTTGTCATCATTGAAGAAAACCATGTCTTGTAGTTCAGCTTGTAATTTAAAGATTTAAACTTGCTGAGGCACTCCTTCAAACACAAACCTAGCTAAGCCCAGTTAATCCAAGCAGGTTGTGAAACTAAGAACTTACAATGGCATTTTAACTTGTTGGCTGCTGGATTCTTCTCTGGGCAAGCTGCTGGAAAACAAAGTGAAAAGAAAACACGAAATTCCCTCACAGAACACCCAGTAACTTGTTCATCCTCCAATAGGTTGTGGTGCACAGCAGCTTCAAATGCTGTACCAATGCTGGTATCAGAATAACTGAGTGCTTGTAACCTCATTTTTAGTTAGTTTTACAATGAATTCAGGATTTTAGTCTGTCTTTCATATCAACAGCAAAGTTATGAAGGTTTGCAATGAAAGTTAATTACCATGTTATCACATGAAATGAAACATCTCTCTGCCTTTGAGTCTGTAATATGTGTACATGGTTAGAGACTTTCATGTTCAGAATAATTTGTGGAAAAATAACTTTTTTTTTTTTCTTTTTTCAGAAATAAAGAAAAAAGACTAAGTGTCATTTCTTTACACACTGGCTCACTTTAGGAGCATAGGAACCATGCAGACACATCATTTTGGGGGGGAATTAAAGAAGATTTATTCTTAAAACAGAGACATCAAGTCTGTTCTCACACTCAAATGAAGGCCTGCATTTCTGTCCTGCAGACCAATGTCAAGATCCACAATGTCAAGATCCACAATGTCTACAAGAAAACTGTTAGTACCAGGTGGATGGACAGATGGGGATAGCTAACATTCATTTTTAATATGAGCATTCCTAGAAGAAAAATGACTTCTGTATGTATTTTAAATAATGGAGCTTCCCATCTTGAAGGTTACTAAATTATGTAACCAGTTTCCCATTATTAACATCAGCTCAGGAACAGAAAGGCACAGGCCTCTACATCCTCCCAGTGATGGCAGCATGAAATGAAACAGGTTTTAAGGGTTTGGTTGGTTTTGTTTGGGTTTTTTTGAATCTGTCTTCCGTGGTGCAACAACAAACCAGGAGCATGTGCTCAGTCTTAGACTGACTGCTTCATGAATTTCTAAATTGCTTTAAGATAGACCTAAGTAAATAGTTGTTGCTACTGTATTCCTGTTCAAGCTTTGAGACCATAAATTATTTAGAACAAGAGCTCCCAAACATGTTTGAACAGAGCTTGCCACCAGAGAACACGAACAAAAACTCCTCACGTCTTTATCATCAAATATTATTAAGATAATTACGTGAAATGAGTAAATACAGCATCAGGATAAGGGAAGAAGCAAAACAAGTCAAAGATACTTGCCTGGGTAACGAGTGGCTCCAGCAGCCTCTCCACTGTGAGAGTCCTGATTTCCAAACTTTTGGGGTCCCATTTCAAAATGATAGGTGACGTTGCAGAAGTCATACTCCCTGGAACAGACAAAGTTACACAACATCCATGAAAATTATTAGTGTAATATCCAAACACTGCATACCATTCAGTTAGAGAATAAATATATACATTCACATATAAAAAAACCCTCCATAATCTTTCTAGTGTTCCTCTACTCCCAAGAACTCCCAGGTGCACCGTTGCCGTATCCTCTGAGGGCTTAAACATCTATATTCAGGATTCTTTTTCCTCCTGTAGCCCTTAAGAACAGATACTCCAACACCACAGCAGATGGATATGTCCTGAAGGAACTGCACCCCATGGAGGGTGCATGCAGGGAGCAGGTTTATCCTGAAGGAGTGCAGCCAAAGAGACAGAATTCAAACTGGTGCACGGGAAAAGTGTGAGGAAGGATGGGGAGCATGTAGGACTCCAGCCCCTGGAGCTGCTGGCTCATGGGCTTGGTGAGGAGTTTTACTTTAATAGAGATATAGGGTTTTTTAATACCTCGAGATGGAGTCAAGAGAATAAACCACCAACTTGTCCCCGATGGATCTCTTTATTAATTTAGGGGAGCAAACAAGGGAACTTGGCCAAAGTTCAAAAGGACACCACACAAGTTACACAAAAATGTTTCACCACAATACTGACTCAGCATATACTATTAATTCACAACTCTTAGATCAAAATCCAACCAATCCATGACTCTTCAGTCAAGATCCAACAAATCCACAACGCTTAAGTCAAGATCCAATCCCTCCAGCTCCAAGACACCCTGAGCATCAAGAAAGGAGCAAAGAAAGAGAAGCAGAGGGGGCAAGAAGAGAGAAGGAGAAAGAGGGAGAGACAGATCATAGAGCTACCACTGACACTTTGTAGAAGACCAGCTCTCACATGTCCAAGTGGCAGGGCTGTGACACGAGGCAAACACGTGCCTGAGGTTTTATCTGCTCTGGTCCCTGTGGACAACCCCTCCAGTCGGGCCCTCTGACCCACCACCCACTCTGGGCTTCCAGGTCGGTGTGAGGGCACTGTCCTCACTGCCCCAGTATGAGCTGGGTAAGGAGCTCCAGGAGCTGTGGGGTGTTATAGTTATAGTTTTCCCGAGCTGCCTTTGACTGGCAGCTGCTCCAGATCTTCCCTATGTGGGCTCCAGGGGCTGCCATAAGGGACATGACACCACCCCACCTCCGTGAGGTTGCACCTATCCCTTCCTCCTCCACACACACACTCCCCACAAGGTGGTTCTGACCCAATAATCACTGACCTGGTGTCTAACAGAGTGTCACGAACCTACTGCAACCCCAAAATCCCCCTGTGCTGCTCAGAGTGGGAGAAGGAAGCAGAAGAGTCAGAAGTGGAGACTGAGTAAAAACTCAGGGCAGAGGAAGGTGGTTTAGATTTTGCCCTTTTCTTCCCTTGCAATCCCACCCTATTTTAATTAGCAACAAATTTTAAAATCATTTTCACCAAGTCTGTTTTGCCTCTGACAGTGATTGGCAAATGACTGCCCTGACTTTGAGGTTTCCAAACCTATGAGGTTTCCCTCCTATTTCCTCCCCCTGTCCCCTGTCAAGGATGGGGAGGGAGGAGCAGCTTGGTGGGCACTTGGCTGCCAGACAAGGTCAGCCCACCCACACGTGGAATAAAACAAATTCAACAGCTCTGTTCATGGTTTTGAACAGAACTTCCCCACAGTTTTCAGCATTTCTTAATGCTGCATCAAAAAGAGCAGAACTCATTTAAAACCGAAAAGGATTCTCCAGACCACCTGAGACTTAAAAGCTTAAACAAGGCCTAAAATGAAGGCAACAGCAAGTTGCTGTCAGATTTATTATTTTTTTTTTTGCCATTTCAGGTTTTTATGCAATTTTCTAGACAGTTGACTTCATTTTTGAAATTCCAGGTACAGAGAAGCCCAGCTGTCAGGTTGTAAGAGACAACAAATGCACCTCATTGAGCTGGAAAGTGATTTTGTAGAGGTATTTGGTGACAGGTAAAGCCACATGTAAACTAACTCGTCAATAAAAAGAAGAAGACAGAAAACTTTGATGAAAAAATGTTCATTTTAAGTAACTCTGGTTTAAATATTTACCTCTATTTTAAAATGAAAATTAAAAAAAAAAAAAGGCCAATGAGAACTCCAACAGGGAAAGATAATCCAATAGTATCACACTGGACATTGCTTAGGTGAGATTCAAGTCAAGCCCTCAGAATACAATATTCCAAAAGTTTTAAATTGTTTTCTCCAGAAAACTATGTTTAACCAACAAGGTAATTTAGGTAATAAAACATAAAAATAAATAAATAAATACTCCACCACCGCAATTAAGTGAACACAATCAAAAGATATTCAGCTATTGCTCCTTGAATCATAATCCACTTCATAAAGCTCTATTCAATAAGGTGCATTCTCAGGACTCAGCAACATTATCTAGTACCTACAAAATAGATTCTGCTGCTTTATTCAGGAGAATGTCTTGACTGATTACTATCAATCGAAATTAAACTCTCTGCAAAATCCATTCATAGGCTGCAAAAGATTCTGTGTCAAAATATTTGCTCAAAGAGAGGTAGATCAGAACTCCTTAATCAATGTATTTATAAATCACGTCTAAACCCCACCCTCCAGGTCTTCTTATTTGCAAACACTCGGTGACAGAAATATCTGATAATATCCAGTGTGTGTGCTACAATCATTATTATTCAGTTTCCACCCTTCTGCAAAGAAATCCTTAGGTTTCATGTCAGTCACCCAGATGTGACTAAAGAAAACTGCCAGACAGTTTCTGGTTGCTCTAAACACGGCTGATGTGGGAGCCAAGCCCTTTTTTTGCAGCAGACAATATTTATTCATCTCTCAGAACCCGTTTCCTTTTTATATAAGGATGGTTGACACTCCAGTTGGCCTCTGGATTCAAAAAAAATAAGTCTGAAGTAGACAATTATTCTAGTCAATAATTTATATGAGTTATGACACTTTCAAATGGGTCACATGGTCTTTCTTTTTAATAAGCTCACTCTTCCCCACTATTACCATGAGTACTCAAACATACACTTGTCATAATAAAAAAGTAAATTCAAAGCTGTAGCACAGTCCAAAGCCCACAAAAGCAAATTAATTTCAGTGGATGACAAGCACAGAGGTGATACCAAAGATAACCTGGACAATCAGTTGTTACAATCAGAACACGGCCTCAGATTCAACCTTTACTACAAAATAAAACAAGTATCCTTCAGAACTCAATATAAAAGTGTGAGTAATGTTTTCAAATACAAAAAGATATATACGAGAAAAAGCCTTACTAAAAACTCCTAAGATAGTTTTTTTATTTGCAAGAAAATCTACCCCACAACAGCAAATAAGTAAAAACAACAAGTCAAATCAATGCATTTTCCTCAACATTCCTCCAGCTGCTGTCGCAACAGCAATTTTAAATGACAAGACTAAAAAGAAGCCACCTGCCCAAGTGTGTGTTTATGAACAGATAGAATATTTCTTCCTTGACATATCTACAGTGAACTTCCCAGACCAAACAGGTGAACAGGGACTGCTCAGCCAGATAAAGGACAGGATGCTAAGAATATCTTACAACTATTTGACCAAATAATCCCCGAACAAGCAGCTTTAAGCACTCCAATGAAAACATAAATTGCTTCATAGCTTACACCTGGCTTGGATTGTGCAGTACCTGGGAGGAAGATAACCTCTGTGAGCAGAGGATAATGGCATCCCATAATATTTTTCATATAAAGATAAAAGTGTATTATGGTAGAGAGAACATTGGCAGATGTAAGTGAAAGATTTCCTTTCCTATTACCTTCTAGACTAGACTGATACTACTATTTTCATAAAGAGCTTAATTTTTCTCTTTCCTCATTTATTGTCATACTGACCACTTAGTGTCATTTTTTGAATGCTCAGCAACATATTTAGGAAACCAACCCATTCCTTCTTCCAAATGGGAAATCAGGTTTCTCGTCTGAGTCCCAGCCTCTGTAATTCAGAAATGTGTTCTGATTGTTCTTCGGGGTAAATCCCATGGAATAAAAATTCACTTGCTGATTTTATGACTGCAGAGTTAAGGAAACATTTTTAGCAGAAAGCTTCTGTGAAATTTAATCTCTGTTTTTCACCTGTTTTCAACAGGCTGAGTGTGATTATTAACCCTACATTTTAAAACTGATATTGTTAAATAAGGAAACTATGTCAATAGTGCTGTAGTAATACTGCCATAGAAGTGTACAGACATTGCAGTCCTAACCCTGAAACCATCTCCACACTTTTTTCAAGAATATATTTAAGGAATTCTATTGCCTAACTTTGTTTTCCTCCTTGAGCATGTGCCAAAATGTCTCTTTAAAGCTTTTTAGCTTTTCCTAAATACAGCAACAGAGAAATGTCTCTATCCAGTTCAGTAACGTTCAGTGTGAACATTTGTTCAGGCAATTTGTCTTAAAAGCCTATCTGTAAAGAAAGCAAGTATTTACTTTAGTAAATGCTAACAAGCATTTACTTGAACAAGTGGAACAAGCAGATTCCTACATTAGAGCCAGATTCTGCATCAGTGGAATTCTTCATTTCATAACAGTCACCAAAAAAATCTAACCCCACACCACCCCTATCACCAACCTTTTCACACAGCAGGACTTTACTTTTTTGGAACATTCTACAAAGCCAAACTATTCTGCACGTGGAATTGTTTGTCTGTCACACCACAATGTAATGTTTTCCTCTAACAATAGATCCACTCTCCTTGTGACTGGCACAGACGTGCATTCCCATGGTCAAAGCTGCTCCCAGGTGACAGCTCAGCTCATTTCTCTGCTGAAACTCCAGTGTAACAGGAAAGATATTTTAAATCTACATGAGCAAAAGCAACATTTTGCTGAAGCAAACTGATGATCTTTTAGAAATAGAAACATTGCCAGTCTTGAGCAGGCCTCCAATTATGAGTCCAGCTCAAGTCTGCAATGCAGAACAGTGCAGACATGAAGGGCAGATGCTGAACATTTCACACTGAATGAAGTAAAAACC